TATTGAATGCGTGGGTAGCACAAATAAGTCAGGGAATTGAGGAAACAGGAAGATAGGCTAATAGCAGGCTACCCTACCGGCGTTGACTCCTTGGTGTCATCTTCCCTGGGTGAGAGTGTAGGAGGAGAGAAAGAGCCATTGTGGGGGCCTCTTGGGGTCTTTGCTACTGCTGGAGCAATTGCCTTGTTTCCCAGTACTCCTACAGCTTCCTTCTGGCAGAAATCAATTTTACAGAAACTATTATCTTGATTTCCCCCTACCTTTACCGATGACGTGCTTCTGTCCTCCTGGGACAGAAGATGCTAGCAGAAAAATGTCACATGTTTTCTTAAAGTAGGGAAAAAAAGAGTTTTATGATATATTGAATTTTCCTGAATGTGATTCAGTTTCTGTTTTCCTTTAGAAGAAAACCAGTTTTTCACTAGGATTATCCCAAGGGTCACATCCAGGTATCCAGCAAAGAGAATTCTGTGGGTTTGCATAAAATTTGCATATACCCCTATGGGCTGTGTTATCAGTGCATAAGGTGCATTTTTACTGTGTTTTTTGAAGGAAATGGAATATTGGATCATATTTGCCACAGGCGGTCTCCTTTCACAGAGGAGGTAGCCATTTCCCCAGAATGCCCCTCCTCTTCCTGCCTGTGAATGAATTTGGATGCCTGTGATCCCTGGGGTGAAAAGAGCTCCATGCTAGGCAGCTGTTGGATCTGATTTCTACAATGTCTTATTCCACTCCTCCGCCCCGAGACGTGGATGCTTCCTCTAGTACCTACACAGGAAAACAACTTTAAAGGAAGTGTGATTTGCTCAGGGTCTTTCCCACGGGAAACGTGAGACTGTCTGACCCCTACCCCCAGGCCTTTGTTTTTAAGCTACTACATTGTATTTCCTTTCATGTCTGGACTGTTTGATGTTCTGCTTTTTATACTTGTTACCCGGGAGTGGTTTCTTCATGCATGGGCAATCCGGTTGCCATTCGAATGGCAGTGGACTATTGCACAATATTGAGGTATTGTAGTTTACTTAACCTATCTCCCTAGTTGGCTTGTTTCCAGTTTCTCAATATTATAGAGAACAAGTCTAAATGTCTTTGTGCAGATAAGGGTGGTTTGTGGGTTGGGTTTTACAGGTGTTTGGAGATAGTCTTCACAGGACTACATTGAATCAGAGTAACTTTTACAATTCCTCAGCAAGTCTGTGCCCACACTTTGCCCATGTCGTGAGCAATTGGCTGTCCATTGTACATCCAGGACTGAGGCAAAAGAAGAGCTTTAGGGAGAGCTCCTCCCTCTGTCAACAGTCTAGTTGAACTAGCTGATGCAACACAGATGGGATGGGGCAAACGGGGCTCTGCGAAGGGTCAGTGGGAACACTGGAAAACATGTGCCCTGATAGTTCCTGAGTGTTCCCTCCCCCTAGAACACAGGCCACAGCATGGGGGAAGCACAGGGAAGGGACAAGTGTCCTCATCCCCCTTTCCCTAGAACTACGGCTGCTGAGCTGACCCCTGGATGAGGGGACACACACACTGAAGTCCATCGTTGCACCACACTTGGCATCTGAGGCATGTCACTGCCTCTCTGCTGCACTGGGGAGGGGGCTGTTGAGCAGAAGTCAGAGGGAGGAAAAGACAGCTGAGAAAGTAATGAATGGAGGTGTGACCTGTCAGCCTTCTTCCTCTGTGTGCCCTGGGAAACTGGGGCGACAACGTGGTATCCAGGTCACACTCATTTACCAGGTGGACCCGTATATTGTTCATACTCCCAGTGCTGTGCTGGAAAGACATACAAGGTTCTTGACTTTGTGGAACATTGGGTACCAAAGGAGCCTCCAACACATGGGCTGAATGTGGCTATAAATATAACGTGACACAAATCATAAAGCACAGACTCTTCAACATGCCCAGAGTGAACTTCATGGACTATACCCTGGCTTCAGTCACTTCACTTATTTCCTTCTGCCTACTCCCCTTCTTGTACCTTGTTCCTTGATGCCTTGCTTTTGGTCTTTTACTCTCTCACTGTGTATATAGGTTTCCATGATTTTGTTTTCTACTTTGTGCTGAGGTCGCCCATCTTTATTTGTTTGCTTTATACTCTTCATGGAGTTTGTGGCTCATACCGTAAAATAAAAGGCATCTGTGAAATCCCTGGTACCATGCTAAAAATGCATTCTCTCCTCTGACCAACAGCTCTGAATGAGGTTGGTGCCTCTTCCGTTATTCAGATGAGTAAAACTGAATTGAAGAGATACTGTGATTTGTCCAAAGCTTTGCAATCCGTAAGCAATAGAACCAGGATTTGAATACCTCCACCTTCTAGTGTTTATGTAGTCACTGCAGGAATGCTCCTATGCGGAAGTTTCATAGACACAGATACTCCATTTTCAGCATGTCCAAAATGTCATCATTTCCTCACCCTTGCTTCAATCTGCTGTCACCTGTCTTCTCCATCACAATAAAAGACATCACCGATCCAGTGATGGCCAAGCCAGTAGTCCAACCCTGGGAGTTGCTACTGTCCCTCTCCCTCAACCCCACACCCTTCTGATTTCCACGCCTCTCTTCGTTTTCTACCTTGCTGCTTTTAGCTCCAGAAACTACTTGTTCTAGACTCCTGGAGCAGTCCCCTTGCCAGCACCCCTGCCTTTACTCTTTCGGCTTCAGACTGTCCCTTGTACCCTAATCTAAATGACCAGCACTCACATTCCTCAAGCTCCCTGAAGCTTTTGGTGGCTCTGTAGCAGAGCACAGAGGTGGCCTCCCAGGGACTGAAATCCATCTGGAATACTTGTTTTGCTTGGCCCATTGAGCATTCTTAAAACATTTTGAATAGTTGCCTGCGTTTAAAAATCAGGACATTCCACATAAAGTTTCATGTTTCTGGCTTTCCTTTGAAAGAGAGCCGTATTCTTGAAATGCCATGGATGACGGAGCTAAGAGGTAGCTTCACTTTTTAGAAAGGGTGGGGACTGTTTACCAGGCTCTAAAGTTCCTGAGTATCTCTTAGTCCTAGCCAGGCTCTTGCTTCTGAGAATCTTTGTAAGATGTGACGCATTTGACCATTCAGTTCTGTTGCATACACATAGCCCTCAGCCCTCAGCCAACAACTCCTTGAGCTCACATGACCCAGCCTGGGGCCGACCAGCTTTGCTAACTGCTTACTCACTGCCTCCATTACACTCTCTGTGGTGTGACCTTCCCGCATTATTTCATTATTATTACAGTTATCATCACTATTTGTGCGGGAGAGAGAGTTGTATGCATGTGAGAGAGATGTATATGTGTGGGTGTGGGCATGCGTGTGGGATTAGAGGACAACTTCCGGGAATTGGTTCTCTTGTTCCACCTTGTTCTGAGGCAGGGTGTCTCTTGTTCATGCTGGGCTGCATTCTCTGGCATAGCTGGACCACAACCTTCCATGGGATTATTCTGTCTCTGCCTCCACCTCACCATAAGTGTTGGGATTACAGATGTGCCCCACCACATCTGCCATTTTTCCTTGGGTGCCAGGGTCAGGTCATCAGTCATGAACAATGACACGTTTATGTATTGAGTCATCACACCCCAATCCCTGCTGCTGCCACTGAACTCTTACCTGTACCTCTCTGAACTACCTGCCTCATGTCTATGTGTGTGCAGGCCGAAAAGCCTAGGGCCGTCCTGCAGTCCATGTGTTTCTCAGGACTCTGCTCCAATGCTGCCTCTATCAAGAAGCATTCCTTACCCCCACCTCCGCCCCCCACTCCCAGGCTAAGCTTTGTCTTCCCGGAACAGGAAGCGCTGATTTCAGTCACCCCACCCCCAGTTTGCTGTATTGTCATTGTTGCCTGTGTTTCTCAAACTGGAGGGACCTTGTCTTATTACAGAATCTACCACATATGAACAGCTGTTGAACAGTGAAAAACTGACCTGGGCAAACACCGCCGTAGGAGGTGGCATCACCCCCATTTTGGGGGATGGGGAGATGTTTTTCAGGTCCCTTTCTGAAGCACCCCTTCCAAGTATCCAATCCAAGAGCCACCTGCGGCATCCTGTCTACCATGCCCTGGAAGCTCTGAGATCCATCCAGGCCTACGAGGATGGTAGCTTGCAGCAGCATTACTAGAGGGAAGACATCGCTCGGTGTTCCTGGGAGGAGTTGTTCAGGAACTGAGAATGGCACACTACTAGCTAAAATATTTGTAAGGGCTCTAGATTTAAAGATGACAGCAAGATTGGCAAAATTGTTCAAAGTTTTTCAGAGTTCAACAGCTAATGAATGGTAGAGTCAAAATTTGATTCCCAACTCCACCAGGTGGTGGTGGCGCCCACTGTTAATCCCAGCACTTGGGAGGCAGAGGCAGGCAGATCTCTGTGAGTTTGAGGCTAGGCTGGTCTACAGAGTGAATTCCAGGACAGCTAAGGCTACAGAGAAACCCTGTCTTGATAAACCAAAACCAAACAACCAAGAAAAATTGAACCCAGATCTATCAGACTTCAATATCAACATTTTCAACTACTTTGTCATACCATTTAGAGGAAATAAATATAAACACAAAGACAGTGACATATACAGATATGGGGTACTAATTCAAGCGTTAATTTTAAAAGGTAATCCTGGGGCACAGAGAAATGAGCGTGGAGACACAGCAGTGTGTTAGCGAGGGTTCTATTCCAGGAGTCCAGTGCTGGGAATGTTTTCCTCCTTAGCCTCTACCTTCTACCAGTTTGTTATTCATTCTAAATCACCATTAATAATCATGAATTACTTTTAGGTTAAAACAGAAACCTCTCTTTCTAATGGTGTAATATCACCTGGCAGAAACCGGGGTCAGGGAAGGGCTATTGTGGTTCCTAGCTAAGCATCGAGGCCCTTGGAAGAGTCTGTCAAGTGATAAGTGAAAGAGACACCAAGCCTGCTGCAGCTGTGTGTGACCTCAGCACCTGCACCCGTGCGAGCAGAGAAGGAGAAGAGGGTCACTAGTCCTCTGGGCTCACCATCTCCCGTCTTCCTCCAGGTGCTTACACCCCAGAGCCCCTCAGCAGCTTCCGGTGGGCTCTTCTCTCGACGGGTCTCATGTTCTTTTATCACTTCAGCGTCCTGCAGATCCTCGGCCTGGTAAGTTTGCTTAGATCCCCTTCTTTCCCCTCTGTTTGGAGTGCTTCATAAATCTTGATAATCCTGGTTGGTGCTGTTGTATCATTTTGTTTTGAAAAACTACATGATGCTAAAGGCCAGGACGTCAGATTGTTGTGTCTGGGATGTTGATTTATGATCCAAAGCTTTGGTCTCTCCAAAGAGTTTTCTGAATCCTTCAGTAATGGTCATTCCCTTCAGTCCTGGGGATGCACTCATGGCTGCTTGAGTCTGAAACAGTGACCTGTAACTGGCGAGTGCTTTACTGTGCACCTTGTGGTCATGTCTGGCCCTAGGCCTGGTGATGGCCTCTAATCTTGGGGCCACTCTGGGTATGCGCCCGGGTCCTTCAGCTGTGTGGCCAGTAGATGTGAGATGTTGGGAGCCCCAGAGCATTCTGTAGTATAAGAAGTGCCTGGAATATGGAAAATGGCTACCGTCAATGTTGAAATACTCAGAGTCCAACAGCGCCGAAAATGTATCAGTGTTGAAGTGAGGAGACAAAAGACTCATGGCTGGCCGTTGGTTCAGGGAGTTTTCCACGTCACTGTGACAGGATACAAACGCCTAGCTTCCTTGAGAGATGGTGAGAACTTGTCTTGAATGAGAGCTCTGGAAGGCAGGTGTCATGGCTGTCCTGGGGGCAGGAACGCCATATTTGGTTTTGTGCGGTTGGCACCAATGCAGCGTTAGGCATGCGGAGCCTTGTGCGACCTTGCATGATCAGGGTGTGTTAACTGGCTGTCCCCAATGCCTTTGGAGAAGCAGCCACTTGGTCTTCCTGGCTCTGGGTGGCCAGAGCCAGGCTGGGGTCTTTGCTAGTAGTGTGAATGCTGCCTGTGCTTATGGGAAGACTCAGCATGACTCTGGCGTGCACACACCCCTCCTGACCTCTTGCTGCTCCCCACTGATATGCTGGTTTCCAGGAGTGTCGCTGTGCTCATGTCACCACACATACATACCATGCTCTGCTACACCCCCATCAGGAAAGCTCTGTTCACCCACTCCTCGCCATAACCCTTGTCCATGTGTCATGAGTCCATTCACATGCCACTTCCCTCACAAAGCCTGTGCGCTCCTCAGACCTCCTCGTGGCATGTAAAGCTTACTGGGCGCCTTCTAGTTTGAGGCCACATGCAGTCAACTGATTGCCCTTGCTATTTGGAGGCAGGGACCATGCAGTCAATGGCTTCCAGAAAAGAAAACCCAAAAACCATGACCTTTCTCCAGGAGCTAGGCACACAATAGATACTTAGGAATGACAATGGACTCTGAACCCAAATGGAAAGCAAGACTGAGCAAAACTGAACAGCTTTCGGCCAGGACAGAGACCCTTCATCCACCCAGAAAGCCTAGGGCAAAGAAGTCCCTTTATGAACAGTCACCCTAGGGAGAGACGGCCGAACTGGCAGTAGCCAGAAGAAGCCTCGGGATGGCGAACGCTCACTGTACCTCCCTTGTCCCTGCAGGTCACCGAAGTGAATTTGAACAACATGCTGTGTCCGGCCATCTCAGACCCATTCTACGGCCCCTGGTATCGCATCTGGGCCTCGGGACACCAGACTCTCATGACCATGACCCACGGGAAGCTGGTCATCCTGTTCTCATACATGGCTGGGCCCTTGTGTAAATATCTGCTGGATTTTCTCCGGCTGCCAGCCAAGAAAATAGACTGAAGGTGCTTGGATTTTTGTTTTGTTTGATTTTGTTTGTTTTGGTTTTGTTTTTTGTTTTGTTTTGTTTCTCCCTGAGGAAGCAAGTCCTGACTTGGCTCAGAGACTACCCAGTTCTTGGCACAAGTCATTGGAGAGGGCAGTAGGCTGCTTGGTATATTCCCTTTTTCCCTCCTCTCTGTCCCCTCTCTTCCACTCCTATTCCCTGTGCAGCGTCTCCCTATGGGTGGCTCTCTGTGCCCAGGGACAGTGCAGGGGGCTGGAGCTTACTTCCTTTCGTCCCCTGGGCTCTGGGTCCTTACTGTGCCCTACTCCCTCTGCGTGGCCTTACCCAGGGAAATGGTAGTCAGCGGCTGCCTTCACTGCCTGTTGGTGCTTTGACCAGCAGCTAGTTGAAGAAGCAGGGAACAGCATCCCAGCAGTGAAATAGTGCTGGGCTCATGTCTCTACTGCCAGGGACCTCCAGGCTCATGCTGGGATCCCCCTTTATCTCCAGCATAGCCCCATCATAAGGGACCAAGGCTTTGTTTCCATACCAGCTGCAAGCTCAGAGCCAAGGGACTTCCCAGACCACAGCCAAAATAGATTCCCCCAGTGACGGGCATCCCATGACTCAAAGCAGGGAGTCACCCAGCCACTCCGTCTAGGGTGCTGCCTGGGATGGAAGGTGATAGCAATGGGCAGCCCAAAGGGCAGGATTCTATAGAAGGTTGTTGGAGATCTGTTGCCACGGTGAATCTGAAGCAAAGCCAGCGAAGGTGTACTCAGTACCAGGCAGGGCTGCCCCACCCCCTCCAAAAAAAAAAAGCCTTCCTATGAAAGCTGAGAACAGAACCCACTTCCCACTCTGAAGTGAGCTGAGAAATGAAGAAATCCACTAAGTTTAGTGGCAACTTGAGAAAGCTGTGATCAGAATCACACTCTGTGTCACATCAGGCAACGTTAGTCTCAGCCACCCCTTGAATCATCCTCATTGTCTCCGTATGTGTCTATCTGTTTCCGTTTGTCTGAGGCTGCTTCATGGAAGAGGGAGCTGGGGTTGGGGCTTGGGTGCTGTTTGGCTGTTTGTATTTTGGATGTTTGAAACGGGGGAACCCTTGCATTTCGGGAGGTGCTCTAGGGCCATTCCTGGCCCTTGGAGGATGTGTCCACAGCTCCTGAAGGCAGTTTCTTTAGGGTTAGATTTCTTTCATGTATGACGACGTCCAAAGCCCACGTGTAGGTTGAAGGGGAACTGCAAAAGGATCAGGTCCCCATAGGTAGAGGTTCAAATCCTCAGGAGGGAGGAGCTCTGCTTAAAAGGTACTTAGTCATGTGTAGACCACAAGGGCACCTGTGTCTCTGCATTTGCTGACTCCTTGTCAACTTCTGGTAGGAGGAGATCTGCTTAAGGTTAGAAAAGCTTTTACCATGACCACCCCATTGCCCTGTTCCAGTTGCAGTATTCAATGTAAGTTTGTGAGTACTTGGCCTACCCTGAGCTTCAGGGACTCAGTGGCCATGATTTTATGAAATGGACTTGCAGAGGAAGCAGGGGCAGGAGGAATCTCCCAGAGCAAATGGAAACTTAAGGGAAGCATCTATGGGAGGGTTTACTTGACCATGAGGCAATCGACTCTGAGGTACAGAGAGCTCCTGCTATGACTTTTGGTTGCTGATTTGCCTCACTCCCTCAGAGAAGTGGATGGAGGAATAGAATTGTGAGAGCCACCATGGCCCTGGGCCTCTCTATAAGAGAGTGTGGAAAGAGGTCATAGGAGGTGAGCCCATGAGGCCTGCCATGGAGCTGCTACCTGCAGAGATACAGGGCCTCAGCTGAGGGAGCCATCTCCAGAATGCTAGAGAGGTGGGAGTGCCACACATGCTTCTTCCACACCTGAGGCACCATGGCCCACATTGCCAGGCGCCTTGGACTTTCCCTGCATTGGCATGCCTCCAGTGGCTTGCCTTTGCTTTGGCACTAGCTCAACAGACCCATTTCTGGTAGTCATTTTCTGGTGCTCAGAGAGAGAGAGAGAGACAGGGAGAGAAATTCAAAGCCATGTTGCTTGGCTTGGCCAGGACAGAGCCAGACACACCTATCAAGGATAAGGAAGTAAAGGGGAAATGCCGGGGGCCTAGGTTGGCTCATATGTAAAGAAGTTAAAGAAACAGTTTGTGGCTCCTTCAGGAGATTCCATAGGGAGTCTTGGCCTGGGTTTGAGGTGTTGGGGACCAGGGGACCTTTTCATTGTATCTCACTCTTACCTTGGTCCAAACCAACATGACAAGAGGTATAAAGTGCTCTAAGCACTTTGACTTGGGAGTTGCCCCCAGGTTTGTCCAACAGCCCTCTACCGTCTGTGGTACCAGGGACAAAGGAGAAGACAGTTTGCGCAGACTCTGCAGCTCCTCCTCAGGCTGTTCCCTAGCTACCTTGTCCCTACGAAGGCTGTTCCCTAGCTACCTTGGCCAAAGTTCCATGTGCGGTCTACCAGTATGTGTGAGTTCCGTGCCTGTGTGAAAGTGCTCAGAGAGGTGGCCAGTTTCTTTGAGATAGTCCCTGCAAGAGGGAACAGTGCATCCTCGAGCTCTCGGCATCCGTGGTCAAGGGGCTGTGCCAACAAGAACAGTTGGCTAAACTGGACAATTTGTGGCAGCCACTCTGAGTAACAGATGTTGTCTTCCCTGCTTAGAGGTCCTTCCCACCCCCAGTATTTGGTTTTGTGTGTATAAGACTAGGCCCAGCCTCCTCTCAGAAGCCTGGCAGCAAGTACTTCTGTCAGCCTGTGATACACTGTGGGGTCCTGGAGCCGCCACCTCCACCTCTCAAAGTCTGTCACCTGTCTTTCTGTGACTTCTTTGTACCTGTGGCTTCACAGGGTCTAAGTTGGCTAAGTGGAGTCGGCTATGCACTTTATTCTGTGGCTCTTCAGAGTTCCTGTCAGACTGTCCCTTTTGCTGTAGCCTCTGTTGGGCTTTTCTGTGTGTGATCATGGACAATTCAGTGTTTTGTGATGTAATTAAAAGCTTCTTCCAGCTCAGTGTTAGCAGGGCTCTACACAGAGGAACTAGGGTCAGGTAAAGCTCTGAGTTGTGTTGAGCTGGATGTTCAGACGGCAAGGGCCCTTTTAGCCCTCCTGCTGCCAAATAGACTTCCCTGGAATTCTGTCCCCTGTCTTCTTTGGGAGAGGAGTTTCTTAATGGTTCCTACTGTACAGGAGGCTTAGGGCAGGGAGGAAAGGGGGCTTTCTGACGCTGTAAGACAAGACACTGCTGCTGGTTTTAGAGACCCAGGACCAGGCCTCACAGGCAACTTGGGATGGTCCAGGACTGGGAAGGAGTGTCCTGTCTCCTGGCCTTGCCTTCTCTTAGGTAGGAGTCCATGAGAGGAGTCAGTCTTCCTCTGGTATATGCGCCTGCAGGGAGACCAAGGTACTTGCTGTTGCTCTTGTCTGAGATACTTTTGTACGCTGATGTGCCACGCACGGCACTAAACAGACCCCACCCCCACTCAATGATAAAAAAGCAAAAACAAAAGTCATTTTTAAGCAGAAACAATGCTTCAGAAGCTCTTGATTTATTTTGGTGTCAATGTTAGAGTTTAAAGTGTTCTTCACTTATGTGATTGTGGTGAAGAGAACAAGATTGAATGGTGTAGAATTATTTCTTCTGGGACATTGCTGAACACCTCTTCCCCCGTCCTTCTCAAGCTGAGACTGCCATGTACTGTCACCCTCTTGTGCAAGGCTCCCCTGAGAGCCAATCTCTGAACTCCCTAGAGGGCAGCAAGATGGAGCCTCCGTCAGGCTGCTTCTGGGGCGCTCTTTCCTCCCCACCTCCCGTCTACCTCCCGTCTTCAGGTGGTTTTGTATTGTGTTCCCTCTGTTTTGTAAAAACCCCTTTGATTGTACTGAAGTGGTTTCTGCAGCCACCTTTAGAAATAAATAAATGGTCCTTAATTTGTGTACTTAGTATTTTGAATCTTAGCCTCAGGTGTTTGTGCTGTTGAAGATCCCTGGATGAAAAGGAACCCTCCCCATGGAACTTATTGTTACAATGTTTTCTTCATTTACTGTTATTAAAAGATTTATGAGAACTCAGGCGTCCTGCCCTTGCTTCTCAGAACCCTCTCAAGAAGACTTTGTAAAGTAGACAAAAGGGGTCATTTGTTGGCCTTGAGTGTCATGAAGTAGCCACCCTCCCAAGCCAGAGCATCTGGGCCCAGCACAGCTTGGCTCCATGGGCAGAACACTGCCTACTTCCATGAAGGTTCCTGGGACCTACCCGGCCATTCGCTCGCACTAAGGGGAGCTTAGCAATCAGGGGCATAGTCTCTCTGGGCCCCATGGTATGCTAGACTAGACGGTAAGGTCACACCATGCAACTTTGGGCCTTGGAGATGGCTCAGTGGGTAAAGTGTTTGTTGGATAAGCAAGAACACCTGAGTTTGAATCACAGTACACATGTAAAAGCCAAGTACAACAGCACAAACCTTTAACCACAGCCTTTGGGGCTTGGAGACAGATTCCAGGGCCTTGATGGATAGTTATCCTGGCCAATCAGTGCAACCTATGGGGTTAATGGGAAGATGCTGGTCATTCATCTTGACCTCTACATACACATGTGGGTGAGTGTACACACACACACACACACACACACAAGAAAGAATGCAACTTTAAAACCTGTTGATTTCTGGCCCGCAGCCCCCAAATGTCCTTCAAGTAAGCAGTGTCCATGCAGGGTCAGACTGTTGGTTGGCGAGCAGTGAACAAGGTAACGGTGTCCTTTGGGATCAGCCAGCTGTGCTTAACCTCCTCCGCCTTGTTTGCTGATGCTGCCACTTCTAGAAGGACGCATAGTGGTATTCAGTGCAGGTGGATTCCTCCCCCCCCCCATCCCTTTGACCAGGTGTCTCCCTCCTAGGCTGTGAAGCATACAGCAGCGCCTTGTAATCTTAGACTAGAAAGAGCCAGCTTGGTAATTTCTTCACTTGCTGCTTAGGTTCTCACTCTGTAGAGCAATAACTACAGCTGGGTGCCCGTCTCAGCCCTCAGTGCCTCTCTGTGTGTCCCTGAAATCCTCTCTCTGGGTGCTCCGGGAGCTGACAGGCACTATGGATCCTACTTCAGGGGAAACCATCAAGTGAGGCTCAGTAATAAGCGATCATCTAGGAACTAGTACCACAAGAGACACCTCCTTTGGGCCACTGCCCTTTCGGTGTGTTAGATTGCTAGGGAGACCAGGGCTTAGGGGACGAGCTCTCAAAGAATAGAGAGGAGAGGTCTGGGGAGATGACTCTGGATAAGGGATTGCTCTGAAAACATAAGGACCTGAGTTTTGATCTCTAGAATCCATGTAAAAGCCAGGCTTTGCCTAGATGTCCCTGTAACCCCAGCCCTGCTAGGAAGGAGACCAGAAGGCCTCTGGGGCTTGCTGTCTGGCCAGCCTAGCTGAAAAAGTATGGTGAGGTCCAGGTTCGGCAGACAAGGACAGCCTCATCCCAAGGCAATCTGACCCGGGTCTCCCAGTCCGCATTATGGATAGCATTGAGGTGAGGCTCCTGAGATGGCTGAGCTGCCGGGCAAGGGACTTGTAAGCCTAGCAGAAAGGCAATAGGAGGGACTGCTCCAGCTGATAGACACCTTCCACAAGGGACTCATCCTGTGACTCCTGTGTGTCAGCAACCTGGCAATCCAGTATGTCACAAAGTGGGTCTTAGTAAGAGAGGTGGATCCTGCCCTGGCCTACCCATGCCAGGCTCTAAGGACAATAGCATGAGCCATTGGTCGATTCTACTGTCCAACAACGGAATCCCAGCCCCAACTCTGCACCATTCAGCAGCTTTCCCTGCTGACTCTTGTCCTCAACCTCGTCTTCCCAGGGGCTCTCAGAGGTGGTACTCATCTGCCTCTGCTCTGTCTCCAGTTTCTTCTTCCCTAACAGCCAAGAGCACAACCTCTCTGCGATTTCATTTTCTCCACAAAGATCCTGGACCCTCCAGCATTATGTCTCACGGGAACTCAGGCATCCCTATGCATTCTAGGACATTCCTTCTGTTCAGAGTGTGCCAAAGTGGACAGGCTCATAAATGCTATGTATTTGTGGCCTGGGAGGCAGCGGTGGGGGTGGAAGTCAGGGAGAGAAATGTCAACGCTGAGGTCTGACTCAAGCACATAATTCCGAGGAAACTTTTCTATTGTTGTCCTTGCTTGAAGTTTTGAGGTTCTGAGTCATCTCTTTGACCTGACAGTCTATACCGGTGCTTTTCTGAAACCTTTTAAGACATCTAAAAGGCACGAAGAGTAACAGCTAAATCCCACTTAAGGAACTGAACATTACCAGTGCAATTGAAGCTCCTCCAGACAGTTAGAAATCATTCCTTCACACTTCATAGATTCTGAGGAGGTACCTTAGAGGGCCCCTTCTGGGCATGAGGGATAGGGGGCAGAGTAGTTGGCCTCTGCACTTCATCGCATAGCTTGTCCTCAGAGTAGCCATTAGCAGCTGCTGGGGTTTTTTTGACTTCACTCACCCGCTGTGGCTTTATGCGCCCTGTGTTGTGGAAGTCTGTGGGGGTATGGTGTGTGTAGAAGAGGCGGTATCTTTGTTTTAATGGATTTTCTCTACTTCTTTGGCTCTAAGACATTTTTGATCATGTTTTAATAGCTCTATAAAGCTGAATGTACCTTATGATCAATGACGTGCAACATTTCTCGCTTCCAGTGGTATAAAATAAGAGACATCTTATAACCTAAAGTGCTATAGAGCCACATTAAATACTGTAATGGTTCTTTCTTCCCTTCTCCTGTAAGGGAGTCATTTTCCTGCTACAGAAAACCCCTTTGCGAAAAACTGTAAATAAACTTTTAGCATGTAACATCATTATTGTACATGTCCCACCTAGATGTGGTAGTATAGGCCTGAAATCCCAGGGCTTGGGATCCTCGTATTTGAGATGCTGAAGCAGAGGGACTGCAAGTTGGGAGGACAGCCTGGGCTACATAGCAAGACCCCATGTTAATGCAAGAACACATAAACCCAAGACAGGCTTCTTTCTCTACCAGCATCTATGAGGCCAGACAAGCTTTCTGCTTCCTCCCTGAGGGGTTCACTTGGTTGAACTATCTCCCAAGACAGTTAGTTTGGGGGACACTTGGTGAGGAGGCCAAGTATACCTGCATCGGAAGACCCCTGTGCCAAATGATGGCGAGAGAGCCAGACAAACCAAACCAGGCCAGGTCCAACCCCTCTGGTGTCCCCCCCCCCACTGTTGTTTGTTTTGTTTCTTATTTCTTCTCCAACCACAGCCCAGAAAGACAGCTCAGTCTAGGTCCCTGAAGAACTTCAGGTCAGTCAATGCCAGGCATGAGGTGACTGGCAGCATGTGAGCACAGGTGAGGTAGAGCCTAGTGTGTCCAAAAGCATCCAGGTTGATGTAAGCGGTACCTGGCCCACATAGAGGAAGGCAATGCTTTCCTGGCTTTTTCAAGGTGGAGGAAGGGGAGCCACTGGGCCTTTCAAGGAAAAGCAACAGTTTGACCTTAGGCAGCTTGAACCCTGGGTATTTCCAATAGCCCGAGCAGTTGCCAACTGCTAAAAGCCTTCCCTCAGTCCTGGCTGCCTTGCAAGTTAAACTTGGCCCATTATACCTTCAGGCCGTGCTCTTCCAGAAGAAAAAGGCGTGTCTGTAGCAAACCTGGAATACTTGGAGTCAAGAAACAGCTTTTGGACATTTTTCCCTAGAGGGTTTAGCAAGATCTGATCATCCTGGATTAGAGCTGCCCTCATGTAACTGGGTTAAAGTGTTGGCCTACTTAGGCCCCTCCTGCTGTGGCCTCCTTCAAAGCTGATGAGGCCGATTAGGGGGCTATTTCTGAGTACTACTCATGTACCCACAAGCCTGGGAGCAGTCCTTCCCTGACCAGAAAGATGATAACCATGGCCGAGGCAGAGTTGGCCTCGCCTGTAGAAAAGCACTGCTGTTAGACACACCCCAAGTCCTGGGCAAAGAGAGTTGCCGTAAGTCGGGGCTGTGGGTATTGATCTTACTACAGCAAACCAACCTATCAGTTGGCAGATACAGACCTACAAAAGCAGACAAGCAATTCATTTTCAGGAATGGACTTAGTCCTTTGCCTTTTATTTTCTCAGTTTGTAGATGGAAACAGTGAGTCATCAACAGGAGGTCCGCAATGCAGTCACTAGCTTCCACTTAGTAGATTTTCCGCATCCAAGGCAGGGTGTTGTCTTAACTTCTCCGAGCCTCTGTTTGGTCATCTACAAGAAAGCAATCACAGCGCCCACTTCAGAGTGCTAGCAGAAGGATCGAGCAGAGTACATACAACACCCAGTTATGTTTTAAAGTGCTTCCATCAGTGCTAAGCATCACCATTACCAACCATCACGGCCACCGTAACCACCATAGTCATCGCTATCATCTTCATCATAGTGAACGGTAAAAAGTCCAGTCTCTGGAGCCCAACAAGCTTGGTTTGAATCCTGGCTTTGCCACTTTAAGTAGCCATGTATAAGGCACAACTTGTTAGAATTTCATTCTTACATTGTAAAATGGAAAAAAATCATGAGGCTAGTGAAAAATGTAGAATACGATTCTTAATTCACAGGACACCATTTAATTGGTGTTGGCTTATTAAATTGTTAAAAAGGAATGATCATGAAGAGGTGTGCCTAAATGTATATGGTTCTGGGAATGAATGTGCCAAGCAAGAGATACTTAGTGTAGTGAAGCCATTTAAATGATGTTTTGATTGTGGATACACTTATCAATACACTTGTCAAACCTTAAAAATCTTCAATGCCAGCAGTATACCCTAATGTAAACTATAGACTTTGGCTAATAAGTATGTGATAATGTAGGTCCCTCAGTTTTTGCAAATGTATCATTCTGGTATGGGATGCTGATAGTAGGGGAGACTGTATGGGAATTTTCTGTTCAATTTTGATGCAAAATTAAAACAGTTGTAAACAATAAAATCTGTTTTAAAGGAAAATTGGAAAGGAATGATTAGTAAATGTTAACTATATTCCCATGGTAATCAGTAAAGTTAACTAAGAAATATAGAAAAAAGGAAACAA